ATCTTCTGCAAATGTTAATAAGACGCTGTTCATTTCAATTTCAAAAAAAGCTGGCCGCCATTAGGAGGACCGACCCACAGCCCCAACTTGCATAATATATGTATGCCTTTCTATTTAAATAATACATGTTCACTACTATATACTTATTTATCAATGCTTTTAGGGTCCAGAGAAAATTTTAACATCTACCTAAATGTAATGCTAAAAGAACTGATTATTATGCAAATGATATTAAGAAGTTTTTAAACCGGCTATGTTATTAGGAAGATTTTGTATAAGAAATTCAAGGTGTTTATACGTCGCTACGCTAATTGATAAATTTTCGGTAATTTAGACTATCCTCTTATTTAGTAGAACATTAAGAGGATAATCTCAACCCTAGACATATTGGGAAAAAAACTAGGCGAATAAAATTTTGTGTCTTAATTAAATCAACAACAAAATCTAAATATATCAAGATCAATTGTTCATAGTTAGGTTAAATACATAATAGCTAAGGTTGTGACTGAATTTGATATTAAAGCCTCATAGAAAGAAAAATAAAAAAAAATTCGTCCAAACTTTATTTATTTTGTTTAGCAAAAAAAAACTTTATTTATCTTCTGTTCTTAAAACAATTCTAAAGAAATAAAAACTTGTTTGATCGGTTTAGGCATCTATTTTTTTATAGTTTTTTTTTTGCTTTTTAATTTCTACCAATTATTATGATAAACTATATTGAATATTTCTTGGACCATTGTTGGATTGGTGCAATCGGACATATTTTTTTTTTAATAAATGTAATCAGACACTTCGGCAGCATTAAGAATGTTGATTAAAAAGCAATGTTCTGTTTATATTTGTCATTTTGTGTTTGTTTGGTCAGTAACCAGTAATGATTTCAATAAAAGTAATGACACCAAAATTATATTTCGTTTTGGCAACACACCAATATTTAGTTGTAACATACTAACATGTAAGTTTAATTTTTCATTTTAAGAAATAAAGTAAGGAAAAAAAATATTTGCAAAAAAAAAAAAAACTGTCTGATATACCAAATGTTTCTTCCTTTGTTTAAATCGTTTTTAGATATGATGTAAGACTCAAACATTATAGGATATATATAGTTTTTTTTGTTTGAAAAAAAATTTTAGGCAGATTTTTCTAAATTTTTAGGTTTTTATACCATATATAAAATTGTAAGCAATCATATTCCATTAAAATTCATGTAAAAGAATTTTTATTTTTTATAACAATAACCATTTGAAAAATAAAAAAAAATTGGGCAGATATTCATGTAGTGATATTAAAAGAATTGATCATAGTATATTAGTATTATTTACATATACATTTTTTACTATGTTTTGTGGTGTCAGTGTCTCAGTGATATAAGAATTCAGATAATTATAACGGACGAGATTAACTAAACCGTTCTATTTTTGAGGTGGATAATAATTTGTGATTAGTATAAAGTAGTATATATCTTTTATTTTTTGTGCATACACTATTGTGGACCAAAATTTATAAATTTCATGGTAAACAAAAAATAGTGCTGTCTGCAAAAATAGTTGTATATGTAATAACCTTAAGCATATATGGACATATCACCTTAATATACATGTGCTAATGTGCTATAAGCCTATTACTGAAAAGTGAACTAATGCAAGTTGATAAAAAGAGGTTCCAATCAAACCGACCAAACCGAAAATTATTGTCCTCACGTCGCCGTCCCAAGTTGATAATCGAAGATAGTTCCAATTTTGCTTTTGCCACTCTATACCAATAATAAATTTAAGGTAGTGATAACAATTGTGATCATAAAGGCAAATATAATTAATATACAATGGAATAAGCTTTGGTGATGTATCTTTCTTTTCGTATGAAATTTTTGCGTAGACGATTGGATTACTTTTTAGTCTTATTTGGATTGCTAAAATTTTGAAAACTTAATGATCCGGATTGTTTAAATATGATCCATATTGCAACAAAATTCATTAGAATAAGTACACCAAAAATGATAGCTGCATAGATAGATTAGAAACCAAATCACGAACGAAGATCAAGAAGTTTCCATTTTTCTCATGTAATGATGTCACGACTCTTTTTTCCGATTAATTTTGAAATATGAAAGTTTCTCAAGTCACTCGATGTAGGGTTGATCATTCTGGTTTGTAAGATTAGATTTTCAACATTATTGCAACACTTTTTTTTTTGGTCAAGGACATTATTGCAACACATGTTGATATATTAACATGTGTATAATGACACTGTTTTAGAGTACCTTTGGCTGCCATGAGTACAACTTTTGTCCTCTTTTTATGAAATATAAATCGAACTTCGTTTGTGTTTCGGTAAAACACCTAAAGCTTCTTCCTTTTGCTTATAAATAAAACTCTTTAAAACATTTCTTTGTTTATGTGTCAATAATTTTATTTTTTTGTTAAATGATAAATATCATTAAGGAATGAAATGTTTAGGTTTACAAAAGTCTAACCTATTGATAGAGC